CAATCAAAAGCCGTCGTTTGAGACGCATTCGATCATCCGATCCGGCTCTAACACCGTATTACGCAAAAACTCTGGTTTTGTTTTGTTACCTGGAAAGCCTCGCTGCGGCTTCGGGTATTATTATTTTAGCTCGGATTGGGCGGGATGGGTCTGAACAATGCAACGACAATTTTATACCTGAGATTGTTTACAAAGGATTCGTAGTATCTACAAGTGACTACGCTCGCGGGCACCGCTCTGTCTGGTGTGCACCTCAGTAATTTTAGGCTTATCCATTGTAAAAGCGAGCGTAACAAATTAATTTTGGAGATCCATCCATCGTGGACAATGGACAGTTTTTGGCTAAGCACATTTCCGCCTCGTAGTATCCTGTCGCGTCCAAATTAAGGATGCATTATTCGGACAACGATAGTTTGTGTTCAAACATCCGGCTTTCCTCGGGAAGTCGGGTACGTCACCGACTAAATATTGTAAATCACGTTTACATCGCGTATACAAATACAATTTGAAAGGCGAGTTACCTGGAATGGATGGTTACATCATTTTATGAAGCGGAAGAGGTTTTATTAAAAATGTTTTATGGGATAGACAGTTGTGCATGCATCATGTTCTGGCAGGGTGTTAAGAGCGGACTACCTGCGTTATCGGCTAAATCAACCTCGATTTCCTCCCCCAAGGTCTGAGCCCGGATACATCGCCCGAGATTTCTCTTGATAGTTTCTAGTTTCACATGATGCTCATTTGTATCTCGCTTTATACAGCACATGACAACAGTGAAAGTAGATTCCGTTTCTGAACAGCGATTAACGTTCGAATTCCGCCAGGCCACCGACGGAAATTTAACCCAGTTCTATTGAAGAGGTCATTAGAAATGCTTATGACTTGCACTTTTGTAGTCTTTTGGTGACTAATTCGGTAAATTGGCATCCATATCATTTCACGTTTTACATTTTTATTTTACAAATAGGTAACTAGACATACCGTCTAGCCTTTGTGAAATACGGGACAAGAACATTTTCATCGCAAAAGACAAGAAAAACTGCAAGCTAGCGTTGAGAATATCCACTTCAAAGCGTCAAAGAGAGTACGGAATCAATATTAATGTTCTTGTTTACCTTTGAGTCGGGACGTCGGCATCGCGAGATGTCGAGGCGTCTCGCCGGATGACTCGAATTTATAATCAGGGGGTGCCTTTATCCCGCGACCCGGGACGTGTGAACGGAGGTCGAAGGGCGCGGCACTTGCTCAGATTGCACCTTAGCGAACAATTGACAGACCATTCTCACGACTGCTAAGAACAGCTGTATGAAGAAGTGACCACTGTGACATGTGGATGGTCATTAGAATTTATTAGGGCTGGACAAGGTCAGCTGTCCATTTATGCAAATGAGGGATTGTCTGAATCATCTGAATAATCGTGGCTTGTATCATAAAAAATACTATGGGAAAGTTGATAGAACAGATGTTATTAGCGAAGTTCGCCAGACTCGATGAATGCTAGAGCAGATGCTTGACCCAAAGACGAACGTCCGTTAGTATCTTGAAACAAAAAGTGACATTTCCGTTCCTATCTGCGTCAACACATGGCCAAATGGAAACGCAGCTGCAATATCCGCGATATCCCGTTAATTTAATGGTCAGGCGGATGATCAATCCGGTCGAACTGTTCTCACTTTGTTGTTTCAACTTTACATGCGACATGAATTTCCCATTTTGCCTTCCCAACAGATGGCTGACTGCGGTAAAAGTTTGTCTTTTACCAGGAGTTCAGAGTTTCTGTGTAATAACCAAATGTAAAACATTCCACCTTTGAGCGGCAACTTTGGAAAAGGCTTCTCAAGTCGTGGCTGCTTGCTCTGCTATTACGTAAAGGGTAAAGCAAAAGTTTTTACATTTGAGGCACGGTCGCGGTACTCCCCGTTTCGCATCGCGTACAGACGCTTTTGACAACATTCGCTTTGATGATGCGACGTCGAAAGGAGTATTAAATTTTACCTTTTTTTCTGTCTGTCCACTCCATCCGAAAAGCGAACTGAATTAAAACGCTGTGTAAAACGCACACACGAATTTCATTTATGGAGTGTCTGCGAAGTTTATGGATACATATTGCTGGGTAATTTTAAAGTTATGTATGTCGGCGGGTGCTATTGCGGCGGTGTCAAAGCCATGTTCGGATTCGCAATACGAATATCACCAGGGACGAGTGTCTCGACAAAGGTCAAAGAAACTATTACACTAAGTCAAGCCCCGAATTGTGTGGAGGCGTACAGAAATGTCTCGGCGGGAACGTGAGGATAACCCAATACACAAAAGGATGGTTGTTGCCCCGACCCGTGGGCGAATGGCCGCATATTTAAATTTTTATAAAAAACATATCAATCTCGGGACAGTAAGTAGGTGGGATTAAAAAGGATTGTTTGATCCAAACATTGTTTAGTTTTTTAAATTAAAAATTGCCTAAAGAAACACTTTTGAAAGGATCAATTGGAATACGGGCAGGTGAATAGAATTTAATATGGTGTTTAAGGAATGTGGTGGATGATTCACGAGTGAAGGGGTGCATGTAATAATGTTTTGGTTATCTTTTTAGGGGATAATCAGAATCACCTGATCGTATAAGGGTTCGCAGGTACCCGCATGAATAGCATAGGGGGGGCATTTCACGCGAAGCGGACAGCGAAAATCAAGTCAGGTTTTGGATTTTGTTCATATTTGGATTAAATGTACTGCTATATAATCTGAATAGATGTGCATCATTATATTTTTTTTATGAAGCTTAGTTTATTTTTTATGAGAGTTCAAAAAATTGGTAAAATTTTAGGAACAGATTTTTCTGAAGCTATTACTGCTATTATTACATTTGATTAAAAACAAACTGACTATTGGACTTTTGAGAATAAATAACTGTGTTTCTTACTATTTACTACAAATTTGAAATTTCTTTTTTGTTCACATAGAAAACCGGAAGTAAAGTTTTAAAACCGAATTTTACAAAACTTCGGTATTTTTAATTTTTTTTATTTTTATTTTAAAACATACCTAGTAGTCTATAAATAACGTGTGTAAAGTTGTAGAATGGAGTCTGTATTGGTTTTTGATTTAGACGCAGTACAGTGCGAGCGCGCCGCAATGAGCGTCATACTGGCTATCGACATTTGGCTACTGTATAAAAATTATTTGTTCGAAAACAACTGAAACGTTAATATTGTTGCATGCATACTCTTAAACAATTATAATTTTGACTCGGCGAACTTCGTACCGTCTAACAGACAATGATTGTTGGCATTGAGATGGTATTACGTCGCAGACCACCCACAACTTATTGGATAATACTATTAAAACATTACCCTTCTTTTTGGGTAGTCGGGATATGTTAGTCCGGGGTGCCAGTTAACTTCATGCCAAATTTCATTAAAATCTGTTCAGCCGTTCTTTGTTTTATACATAAAACAAAGTCGTGTTAGTTACACGATTTATAAGTCAAGAACGGTTCGGCAGATTTTGATGAAATTTGATATGGAGGTAGCGAGCCAACTACCTAAAAAAGAAGAATTATGTTTTTAGTGTATTATTCAATAAGATGTGATGTGGGTAGTCCGCGACGTAATACGCACCATCTCAATGCCAACAATCATTGTCTGTTAGACGGTACGAAGTTCGCCGAGTCAAAATTATAATTGTTTAAGAGTATGCATGCAACAATATTAACGTTTCAGTTGTTTTCGAACAAATAATTTTTATACAGTAGCCAAATGTCGATAGCCAGTATGACGCTCATTGCGGCGCGCTCGCACTGTACTGCGTCTAAATCAAAAACCAATACAGACTCCATTCTACAACTTTACACACGTTATTTATAGACTACTAGGTATATTTTAAAATAAAAATAAAAAAAATTAAAAATACAGAAGTTTTGTAAAATTCGATTTTAAAACTTTACTTCCGGTTTTCTATGTGAACAAAAAAGAAATTTCAAATTTGTAGTAAATAGTAAGAAACACAGTTATTTATTCTCAAAAGTTCAATAGTCAGTTTGTTTTTAATCAAATGTAATAATAGCAGTAATAGCTTCAGAAAAATCTGTTCCTAAAATTTTACCAATTTTTTGAACGCTCATAAAAAATAAACTAAGCTTCATAAAAAAATTATAATGATGCACATCCATTCAGGTCATATAGCAGTACATTTAATCCAAATATGAACAAAATCCAAAACCTGACTTGATTTTCGCTGTCCGCTTCGCGTGAAATGCCCCAGGGGTGAGCGAGGAGCGCATACGCGGTCTCCTCGTGGCCGGTGCGCAAGCGCAGTCGGCCCCTTGACCCCAATGCGGCGCAGTATTGTACGCAGCAATGACACCGTTCGCCTTGAGCCGCAAGCACTGCCGGAGATATTCGCAACAATGGAGGCCAGATAACATTTCAAAAGTTTGAAAATCCGCTGGTTCTTATCGACCGTAAATAATTATTAAATTCTTCGATTAATTATTCATGACTCGACTTCAATGTTTAGTAGGATTCTAATAAAATTGCTGGCGCCGCGTCGATACCGGTGACAATACGTAGTTTATTGGGAACGATAACTGCCATTATTGAAGCGACACGTACTGCTTGTGAATTATCATAATGAATGAGTCGATAGCCGTTTTATCGTATTCGTGCGGGCGTTATTGATTCACGAAAGGAAACAGCGCGCTACTAAAAAGTTTACTTCCGTTACTTCTGTGCACTTTTTGTCGTCAAAACTTTTCTCACGATCGACCTCTAAAGTGGGCGTCGATATAAAAAATGTGGAGGAAGCAATCTATCGATCAGAGTTCGGTCGATTGCAGCCTATCAGTTGCTAAGGAAGCGTTGCGTCAATCGTTTAATTGACAAAAGTCGACCGCGTCCGAGCGCTAGGTCGCGGTAAACCGTGGCCTATGCCGTGGCTTTAGATCTAGCATAATGGGACAAGTTTTTTAAATAGTAGTGAAACATGCATCAAAAGTCAAAACTCACCTCTGGGGATCAGCGAACACGAACTTCCTCAGTTTGAGATCACGTAGAACGATTCCTTGCTCATGACAAGCGGCCACAGTTTCTGCCATTTGTCTGAACAGCCTCCGGGCTTCGTGTTCCCGTAGCCTTTTCCGCGCCCTCACATACGAGTGGAGGTCGGAGTGCGATCGAGGGAATATTAGGTACACCCTCTTGTCGCCGACTAGAACTTCGTGGATGGGGTTGACGTGCGGGTGGCCATCGAGCCGATAGTGTGCTTGGAGTAAGCTACTGCAGTCTCGTGACACCACCTAAGGAAACACACAACATGTTACTTTCTTTGCCTGTTTCATAATATCTTCTATGACACATTCATCAGACAGTTACAGATATAAATCTTCATCTCAAAAGGTCGAACATTCAAAATAGCTTCAAGCTCAGTCAAAAGGATTATTCCAAAGTGATATTCGTTTAAAAGGGTAACTCTAACGTGAATAACAAGATTTCAAAGACTCTTGACTAGTGAATAGACCCTTTGCCAATAAAAGGTGGTTTGATATTGCGTCGTAGAAACGTAACGTCTACAACGGATTTAAATCTGCACATTCGTATGAGTATAGGTACTACTACTACATACATCTTTCTTAGCCCTTCAGACAAATGTTAATAATAATTCGAAGTTAAAATTAGGGTAAAATGGCTCGTATTATGAACTAGACTTCAAAATCAAGTCTGTGATTGCTCTAAATACTGAAATTCTACTAATCGAAGGCTTGAATTTGATTTGAATTTTGAGTGTCGTTTCAAGGTAGGTACCGTACGGGTACGGGTACATAGAGCAGTTAGTTTTAGTCACAGTCTATTTTCTATCGAGCAATGTCAACGACTCCATGGACGTAAATTCCAAATCTGATTTCCCGACTCACGAATGATGAATCACGTCGCGTGCTTCGAGCCATTTCTTTTTCACTCTTTGTCGTATAAATAGTTGGACGATATTTTCAGTACATTCTTCACTCTACTAGACACACAGACGCGTATTTCCAGTTCAGAATATTATTATTTGGCATGAATCGAAAATAAACATGACCCATTTAACGTGGTGGTTGCGAAAAAACAACTTATCAATAAGAAATTTGCGGTGTTGGTGTAGCACTTGATAATATTTGGCTGCGAATATGCTTTACAGGAGCTAACCTACATTACTGTTATCGATATTTACTCAATCACTAGATGTTGCAAAATATTTACTGGCTTGATATTCTAGGCAGTTTGTACTCTTGATAATCTAACTAACATTATTGAGCATGTTAGAAATCTAATCAACACGCATAAACGGCTATTGTTTAAAGTGTAGAGTAGTTCGCCCAAATACAGGTTTTACCTATTGAATTTGAACAAACGGACATGGTTATATCGAAACCATCATCATTATGCACATAATGTGACGCTCATTGTCTTCAACCCACTTTAAAGCCTCCGTTCGCTACGCCTCAAGCAATGCCACATCGAAGTTTACTGTACAACTTGACTCGATTGTTTGCAGATTGATTGCAGTAAGTACCCCTACTCTTCTTCCATCGCGTAAACTCGCCGAATTCCAACTGTATGTCTGGGTCTGTTAAGGTTATTGGTAAGACCGGTCGCATTGAGGCAGCGATGAATGGCGAGCGCGTTCTTTGAAGCGCTCACTGTGATATTTAGTGGGGGCACGGCATAAGAGGGGGGGCCCTCTAGCCTCGCTGTGACATTCGGCGATCGGCACGTTATCAACTCGTCTATTTCACAATGTCAATGAGAAGGTCACTACTATTTTCGGGGCGATCAAAGGCGGCCACGTGTGACGAGCTATCATAATGCTCACAGAATTTTTGAGTCCGTTTTTTTTAATTGAGTGATGAGCTCTTAAACGAGTTGCGTAGCAGTTACAGTGTGTGTGTATGTAACGTAAAGTAACAAATGTGTCTGCAAGAGTCGGTGTTGTAAATACGCTCCGCGGCGTTTAGCAATGATAACGTTGCCACACTTAACCTTGCCAGGTTCTCACGAGGGAAGTGCCTATTCTGTGCCTTGACAATACCCGTATAGGCCTTTGTTAGCACTAGAACTATGTGTTGCCTAAATTTAATGGCCACGAAAATTTAGTAAGGATGTTTGAAATAACGAGTTTCCGATGTTGCTGAGTCGGTGTCGTTGGTGATTCACAAACGCTAATAAGGATAGGTCGGTGGTCGTTGTCTGAGTAATTTAGACTGGCTGACCGTTGACGAATGTGTGCCACAGGTTTGTACGAGTTGTATGACACACGTGGAGATGGTTAAGTTGAAACGTGTCGACTGATTAAAGCGTTATTACCGTTAATAGCGGGTATTGTTAGCGATCGGTTGCGAAAGGTACACATGACATTGTAAAAACTGCGATGGCTTTGGCCTACAAGTGCGCTCTCGCGCAAGACCATGACATATAAAGTGTGACATCGGAGTTCCACACTGATGCTGTGAACAATACGTATTTATGAAAAACGACAATTACAATTTTAATTGTTTAAACAGCTAATAATGATGGCAATGACAAAGGCACAAAGTTGAGCCGCTGATAAATCAAATAGGCCACAAAAGACAATGCCGGAAATTGGCGTCTTTTTTTTTCGCGCGGCCATCGACCAAACCTTGTTTTTTGATTACAAAATAGTATAATAAAACAAACTTACTATGACATGTACACCTCTAAACTCAGTCTGAACTGAGTTACGAGCATTAGAAGTTTGATAATTTTCATACTAGATTTGCTTTTTGCGCGCAAGTTTTGTAAGAAATTGCAACAAAATAGTGACATTGTATGTGTAAACAAACAATATCATCCATTATAGGCTCCAGACATCAGTATGCAGCAGAATCAGCGCAATAAAAAAATAGCGCAATATTTTGTTGCAATTTCTTACAAAACTTGCGCGCAAAAAGCAAATCTAGTATGAAAATTATCAAACTTCTAATGCTCGTAACTCAGTTCAGACTGAGTTTAGAGGTATACATGCCATAGTAAGTTTGGTTTATTACACTATTTTGTAATCAAAAAACAAAGTTTGGTCGATGGCCGCGCGAAAAAAAAAAGACGCCACCTTCCATACAAAATCTGGCATTGCCATTTGAGCTCGGTCACGTCATGTTCGATACTTTCAGCGTAGTTTTAATGAGAGATGAAACAGGGTGGATAAAAATCACGATTTTTTTATTTTAATCAAAAAAATCAGATTTTTTTAAAAAAATCACGATTTTTTTGATTAATTTGATTTTTTTGATTTTTATTAGGTTCTGCGATCATTTCTTTAGTTTTTCTTACGGAATACATTTTTATTTACGTAGAATTGATGTATGGAGCAGGAAACACCGCCAAAAAAAATTAATTATGTAGTTATTTGAAAAATCGCAAATGTGATTATATGGAAAAATTAAATTTTTCAGATTCTCCATACAAAACGACAATTTCATACATTAACACCTAATATTAACATTGTTTTCGAACATTACAGTTGATTAATATTAACTCCCAGCCTTTCATTAAGTCCATTTTCGGTCATTGATTTAAATCAATGATTTTTATTAAAAAAATCATGTAATAAAAATCGTGATTTAAATCATGATTTAAATCAACTTGATTTAAATCATGCAACCCTGGAGATGAATAATTTTAATTACGCTGTCAATATTTGAAGTCAAGATAAAATCGCAATAAATTATTCAGGGTGTGAATTCTCAAGTCAAAGTTGAACATTAGTTTCGAATGTCAATTGGTAAATTGCAATGAAAGGGACACCATGTGGGCATATTATTTGGACTCGGCTTATCTCCGCATGGGGTCCCGATCCCGTGGGATAAAGGCCCAAAGGGAACCCTTTAAACTGCTAGATATCGTATGAAACTTGTAGTAGACTGAAACTAAGTTGCACTATTGAATACAATTCATAGGAAATAAATTTAAGATAATATAAGTAATGGAATTTTGTTTTGCGTCAATTCTGAAGAACAATGGTTAAAATACAAAGAGAAAAGTTTAAATAATGCGCAGTGAAATTAAAATTAGTTTTATCACTGATAGAATTTTATCACAGGAAACGTGGATTGTACTTGGATAAAGTCTTATTACGTGGTTTTATGATAAGCATTTGCGTAGGTAGGTATTACGAGTGCAAATTCACCAAAGGTTGCATGTGTTGAACTTAGATCTACATGTTTGAGATTATAACTGACGCCATTTTAATAGCTGAACAAACAAAGGTCAAGAATGAGATGATGATCTCGAGCGAGATGCGGAAGACGTGTTTCTAATTTCATCAAGGAAAACAAAATGCTATCGCGTAATCACGTGATCAAGACGTTTTTAACTGTAGGTTCTTTCCCTGTACGTAACTTTTGTGACGATCGCGATCGTCACTTGTTATGTCGAGATGAATGTTTGCTCTGCGTTTAATATGACACCTATTAGGTATGTTGTGTCAAAAGGCGTCACGTTTTGTGGCAATTAACAAATGGACCATAGGTCGGGACGAGATTACGCACTGTATCAATCAAACAAAGCTACGCAACGCTGTTGAAACCAACATTGCGCCATGACACGTTATTATCCTCGTCGTGTCGCGAGCCATGATAGATCATTCGCTTTGACAATGGATTTAAAACATTACAAGCGGTTTATAAATGAAACACACACAAATGTTTTGTCAAATATTGAAATGTAGCCGGCAAAAGCAAATTGGATTGGTAGATTTGTGGATTAGCGGTACTTTGATATTGATCTGATAAATATCTTTTTTTTGCATTGTTTTACTTGGCATCATTTATTTGACTAACATTCGCTTTTCCTCTATTTTCTTCTTATCGTGACTTAACTGTGCCTTTCTACGTTACTATTAATAGCTTTTAATGCCGGACAAAACAATAAAATGACTATTAACTGGTTACTACTATGAGCGATGTTTTCAATAGAGTCTATCTCTTGTAATGATTACAAAACTTATAAATTACCTATTGGAAAAATTACCTACTTGTTTCTGTGCCATATTGCATGGAAATAATTAATTTATAGAAAACATAGCCTGAACTGCACCTAACTTAGATCGTAGGTAACCTACCTACCTACCTACAATCGATTGCTCAGTTAGTTAGCAGTTGACATCACTTATTCTGGTAGGTACGTTCATTTATCAAGAATTCAATTTCTAAGAATAAATCTTATAGGTGTTCGCCGACTTAATAATGATGTTTATGTAAAGGTAACAGGAAAATAGCCTACACTTTTTGTGGTGGACCACAGGTATTTATCTCTACGGTCTACCAATTGACATTGAATACACAATGATATTAAGTTTAAACAGTTATCAGGTATTGACGCGCAGGTTAGCACGTAATGAGTGCTATGCAAATCGCTATGATATTGCACGAGCGGTCTAGCTAGCGACGACTATCAACGTTGAACTATAGCCAACCTACATCATTTAAACTATCGTCACTTGTTTTCCTTACTTTATCTTAGCTACAGCGAATCGTGCGCAATTTCGTGAAATAGGTATTTTGGGAAATACCTCCAAGATAAGTTGCATTGTTTCCTTGGCTCGTAGGTACATAGTAAGTTACCTACGCACTACGATGTGACATCCTACGCGGAAGACAGAGGTCTGACGTTAATGTAAACAGATAAAATAGATAGGTACACTCACTTTGCAAACGTATTCCTCTTGTGTGCGCACGTCCACACAGCGGCAAAGCGAGGAGCCCTCGACCTGTTCCAGTAGTAGGTATTTTTCAGCCACTAGCGCTGCCTGGAACTGGTGTTGGGGGGGCGCAGGGCTGGTGGGCGCCGGGCTCGAGGGCGACGCCGACAACCGGTCCGCCAACACCGGCGAGTGCGCCCGCTCCTCCGCCTTGCTGTGCTCCCCATCCCCCGCCACCGGCACCGTCACCGCCGGCTTGCTCAGGCGCAGCGGCGACAACAAAGACGATCCCGGATCCATCACAACACACACACTGTCACGGCACGAAACACTAAAGTCCACACACACAAAACACTTAAAACAAATGAGGAACTATGATGAGATGAACATGATCTGCAACAACAAAAAACCGATTAGAAACTCCCAACTTGACCGTGTTGTGTTTGCAAATTTATTGCGAACGTAGTTACAAAATTTAAAACGAAACTACTACGAGACAATCGACGATTTAGTAACGTTTTTAGTAAGGGGAAATTACGAATGAAGTACGAACCTTGAAATGATTCGCCCTGAGTGGATATCGTACCAAAATTTGACTGTCCGTGGCGGCGAGTGCGTCGCTATATTGCGTAAGGAATTACAGGAAGTGTTTCCGAGTAATTCGAACACGGATAGACAGGCCAATATTTTGGGCCGGTGTCCGCTCGGGTTGTTGTAAAACTAAACGAACACGCGACCGACTCTCACTAACGCCATTGCGAGACTGAGCCTCGGCCGGCAAGCGATCCAACGTCCAATGTCGACACAGCGTCAGCTTGCGTAGTACGCGAGACTACGCCATGCGTTTTGCAAACACAGCGACAGCATTATATCCGTCTCTTTCTTTGTTACACAAACGGCGTTGGAAAGACAAGGAACGACTGTGACCATTCATTTACGTTTGGCAATGCAAAATGTCAACAAATTGGTTTTTCAATATGCAATTTTTTCATAATTCAACACAGTGAAATATTGAAGTGCCTACTAGATTGGAATTGAGATTTTCAAAAACAATGAAAATTGAAACGGCTAATGAAACTACGTTCAAGGTAAAGGCTGCGTGTGGTTAAGGCTCTGTTATTATTTTACTCGACTAATCTCGACATTGCATTTTGTAAGCATATTTTTTTATACATATTATATTAATGTTGATCCAGGTTTTTAACCATAGTTTAAATAATTATTTATTATTTAGAGAAATAGTTACACACACTTTGTTAAACGAGTCATAAGTAGGTAGCTAATTATTTATTAAATTAAGGTTTATTTCACCTCTCATAACACAAGGAAGCGAAGTAGAAGGGCCTTAGGTAAGTATCTATTATCTAATCACTGTAGATTTAAATTAAATTGGCAATTTAGACAAAATTAATTAAAAGCACGTACCTACCTACCTACCCAGTTATTATTTACCTACAACTACATAGCTAGTTGGAAATTGACTAAGTATGACCACAACAATGACGTAGTGAACTGGGCGTCACGTCCATCATCGCGTAGCACCGCTAGATTGTGTGGTGTGCGCTTTGCAAAGGAGTCCCCTGTTCGATTCTCGGTCGTAACAGGGGCATCATACTGGTAGAAAACTGATTTTTATAAATGAAATATCTAATAGTCGGTTCACTTTTGTCAGGAGATGTAGACAGGTAGAAATAGAAGTAGGCCTACCTACCTAAAATATTTTTTATAGCTTGTGTAATGAAAAAGCAACCATATTTATAATGTATAAATAGTACCTACTTCTACATACATACACACATAAAAATTCATTCATGACGTCTATTCTCAAATGCGTGGGAGGGCAGGGTCGACGTTTTAGGGTCTCCCTAACCCCCCTAACCCCCTTTACCTTTGAAGGGTAACATTAATTAATTCAGACATTCGACTCGCGATACGAGTGGCAACATCTCGAGTTGAAGTGCTATCGATTGATATTTGATATTGCAATACGAGTCTTGCTCTTGCTCTTGGCTACGATGAAAGGACCTGCCAAAAGCTCTAATATCAATACCTACATAATCTAGATTACTGAAAAGGCACGTTGAATATTGAATCGAAATTATATTATCAATCATAGGTCGGTATTATTATTATAAAAAAAAAACAATCATAAATGGATGTAAAAGAATGATGACGATGATGTTTATTAAACATCAAAATAAACTGCGTTTAAAATAACCGTCTTTAAAAATTAAACTGACTCCAAAAAGTAGGTATTAAAAAGTAGAAAAATAATTACGTTATTTATTTCATTAGGACAATTATATGACCATTATTGATATTCTTGAAGTCGACTTCCTAGGTAGGTAGGAGGTAGGTACGGTACGGTAAACCTTTGTAACCGAGTGGTTCCAGTTGCGATACTGCCTATGAGTTTATTTTCAGGGCAAGATTTCTAAAAAATATTAAAAATGTCTGAAACTAAACTGAAAATGTTAAGGCCGTACGAAGTTCGCCGGGACTGATAAAATGATAAACAAAAGTGGCGCTATTTTGCGTCATCATCATACGAGTAACTCTAACAAACACGCGTTAGTTCCTGGTTTACGATCTATTAACTTACCCAACAAAATACAGTGGTTTTGTTTATAATTATCATAAATTATCACGACAACACGAGCAATCACGTGAACGTTGACATCTGAACTGGAAAATCATTCTGGTTCGAGTCTTCATTAAATTATTTAAATTGCGCAACTATTTTTTTCTATTGTGCAAGTTTCTGCAGTACCTATGGCCACTAGATAAGTCACTTAGGAACTGTGGCTCAGCACTGCGCTATTTCAAAATTGCGCTATAACGCAAACAATGGGACTGTAGTTTATAAATATCACAAACCGCGTGCGCTATAGTTACCTTTGATTCCTTCTAATTATAAAAAAAATGCGCTAACTCATTTTAAAGGCCTCCCTCTAGGTGGACCGACGATCTGGTGAAGGTCGCGGGAGGTGCCTGGATGCGAGCGGCGCAGGACCGATCTTTGTGGAAATCCTTGGGGGAGGCCTTTGTCCAGCAGTGGACGTCTTTCGGCTGAAACGAACGAACGAACTCATTTTAAAGATGTGAGTCAAGATTGACTGAGTTGGCGCAATTTCCACTGGTAACTGTACCTATGACTGCGATGCCCCATTGTTCTGAACTGCAATGACGAAGGCAATGAATGACGAGTGACGAGTTTGATGACGAAGCAAGCAGCCTCTACCTTTGCGCTTTGTCGGCTCGCTCAGTCACGTAGGCCAATAGATGTGAAGTGATTGCATACAGATAAAATAAATTATGAAATAAACCCTATATTTGTTGTAATTAATATACATAAGTAGGTATTATGTTTTTCCAATTTGATTTTTTACACGCGGTGATGGTGGCAACTGGCAGTGCAGAATTTTTAGAAACTTATCTACCATCTTCATTTTCTTTTTCTTTTTTTCAGTCATTGTTGACCTCATTTTGTAAGTCTGTCCCAAATGAGAGTTGGCTGTTAGCTGTGATCATGATACCTAAGTAAAAATAGCTGGCACGAATCCATCCATTAATTACCTTCATTATTTTACTTGTTACTAGTTAAGTAAAGTCAACAAAAAAGTTGCATTCACGTTAAAGTTGCGTTTTTCATAATATGATTACATCCATGAAAACAATCCACTTCAAATATTACATAATAAATACTTTTCAGTTGAAACTTCTCGTAATAACATTGACTATGTAAGCAAAGCAATTATTTATAGTTAACTCATATTTCAGTAAATAATTTATGAATAACTCTGAATATTTCACTTATGCATTGCAGGAAAAAATATTGCGTTGCCATTATTCGAGGAAGTTTAAAATAAAGAGGAAATTCTGAGTTACCTTGTCTATTTCACAATTTAAATCCAATATTACTATGAACTCAATTCCTTAGAAGGATTCTCGTGGTCTCATAGACACACTCATCTAATAGGTACCTAATAACTAGTATTATATTATCTGTGCTAATACCTAAGTAAGGTCAAAAAAGGTTTTTAATCTCCATTGACGCTTTAGCAAGGCTAAAAATACAAACAGTAGAATCAATGTCTCAATGTAAGATGGACATGCGATTGCGCCATACTAAAAATGTTTGCTTAGTAATTTGGTGATTCAGAGGTGGACGATGCACCGAAGGACTCCTTTTTGTTCCCGAAGATTAGTCAGGATGAAGCGGCAGGACAGAGTGCATTCCCGATTTGTGAGACATCGTTTGACCCATTTTATTTTTTGTTTTTTTATTCTTCAAAAAGACGAAATGGTTTTATTTAACTAAAATACAGATAGGCAGTAACGCGTATTGGCTTATTGTTTTAGATACCAAATTTTAAACAATGTCCGTGTCAAGCAGAAATTGTACGGGGCCAAAACCGCGCGAAGCAGCTATTTAATAATAGTAAATAGGTACTTATTTACTATTCGTACCTTTAATATTGTTACATTGCCTGAATGTAATATAAAGTGCATTGTTATCGAATGTTCCCATGAAACTGATAAAAACCCGACAATCATGTAAGTTGGCACTTGGCGCCAACAATTTCCCCAAACGGCAAAAAAGTAGAGGCAAATTAGTGTATTTCCCCAGTTTAATTACCAAGTTAAATAATGGATCAGTTGTTTTCACGGATGTAGTAAACAAATGGCGCTGGCTGTGGAAAAACTACAGGATTCGAGTTAATAGGTGTGCAGTCATCTTAATTGCTTTGCTTTATCAATAGCAATCGATGGAACTTGAATGATCGTGCAATATTGTGTTATCTGTGGGAATTACTCGACTGCGTCATTGCATGGTTAATTTACAAAAAATATTGGAAAATTACGAACTCTCATAAGGTAAACGGCTACTAGTTCGTGATAGTACGTAAGTTCGTAAGTTTTTTTTCTAGCTCAAATAATAAGGAAATGGAATATTATTTATAAAAATTCTTCATCACTACAAAAACTCTATTCTTTAAGCTATCTAAAAAACCAAGTACCAACATTGAGGCGCCAAAAATGAGAGCAATACGAAGCTTCAAACTCTCAGAGAGCCAAAAACAGCCGTGGGGCGTGCAAAGGTTGCTCTCACCGTAAGATTAGCACTCCAACTTCTTAAGCTTATAGAAAGGCGAAGGAACGTCCATTTGAATAAAACTTATAATAGTGGTTTCATGTGTTCCTTGACAATTGATTTGGCTTGGAAAAAAGTTATAAGAAAACGTAGAATTCTTTTAAAATTGCGATTAATTGACTCACGAAATAGCGTACATATTATTTTTCGGGTGTCCCCTATTTCGTGACACTACCGAATCAAGGATATTATGGATAACGTTTTGATGCTTGGTTTTTAAATAATTATTTATGATAATTGAAATGTAAGTTATGAAACAAATAATGCAATTATTTAAGTTTCTCATGACCTAAATTCGGTATATGTTTCGTTCACTAGAATTTATATGACACGAGTTTGAAGTTCACATAAATGACCAATTTTAAGATAAATTAGCACAAGTACTACCAACCTAATTTTGGTTTTAATTCGATTTGTTTCATTTATCTTTGTTTATTTGTTTTGTATATGAGATAGATAATAGTTAATTAACACAATTTGACAATAATCCATGAATTTTACTTGGGGAATTTGGAATAATCAGTATCACGAAACAAGAAACCGTATTATTGTTACTTTTTTTCCAAGTTCGTGATATATAAATGTATAGTGTTAGGTACTTTTATGACACAAACCATCAAA